CTCACGTCAATGCCGTCGGGCGACAGATGCGTTTGGGGGATGAACGCCCCAACCCTTGCTCTGCCTCATCATGACGAGGCCATTTTGAGCCCGCCCCCTGCTCCTGGGCAAAGGGGCTCACCCCTAGTAGCTCCTGGGGGACATTGGTGAAACACCCTGCTCCCCTTGGCTCTTAGGGTGCGACGGCGGAGCCGCCCGCCTCCGCTGGCACCTCGGGCGCGACGGCAGAGCCGTCTGCCTCTGTTGGCTCCTAGGGCAGGCCGATGGTACATCCCGCCTCTATCGGTTCCTAGGGGGCATCGTCGGAATGGCCCGCCTCAACTGGCTCCCCAGACGTACCCTCCCCTACATGGAACGGGAAGGGTCCCGACGCCTACAAGGACGAACTGGTGCCTGTCAGCGCATCCTCGTTCTCCAGGTTGTCCCACTCGATATTATCGACTACCGTTTCTTCTTCCTCCATCACCTCGTTGTCGTCACCATCATCATCATCATCGTTGTCAGTGTCCTCCCCTCATTCCTGCGCCCACAACTTCCACTGCTTCTTCCTCTTCTTGTCCTCCTTCACCTTCCTTAGCCGCTCACCCTCGACGCGATTCGCTGCCCTTACGGCCGAATCCCTCGGTAGCAGTGTTGGGTGATTCATGAGGATGAGGTTCCTCGGCTGGTCCCACCCCTCTCAAAGTTAGTCTCACGGGGTCGGGAAATAAATTGAAGAGAAGGCAATAGAAAGGGAAACTTACGAAGACAACGAAGCCTGGCTTCGGCCACATCGGAGGATGCCTTGGCACCGGGTAGACGAAGTTGGGGGCGGCACCCGCATCGTCCCGCAAAGGCTCCATCGCCTCCTTGATGTGTTGCTCGATCTCAGAGTTGGGGAGTGTTCCCTCGGCGAGCGCCATTCCGTCGAACGACTCCTCAGGCGCCATTGCGTATAGCAGGAGCGCGCACGTCACCAACGGCGCCACCCTCCTCGCGTGGTAAGCCCCGATGACTCCCGACCCTTTTAGGCCATTCTTCTTTAGGATGTGGATGATGGCGATGTGATCGTGGATCTTCTTCTTGTCCTTCTCTGGGATGCCCCACTTCCTCCACTGCTCCGGGGCCTCTTCGATCAGGCGCCCGGTGAACTCCGACAGAGGGGCGGTGGTGTCATTGTTGAGATAGAACCACTACGAGTGCCACCCCTTGTTGCACATCAAGAGCCGCATGGACGGGTACTCGTCGACCCGATTGTTCCAAATTGGATGCCGGCTCACCCCATCGGCATGTGCAGCTCCTTCATGCCGTCCTTCTCCCTCTTCTTCTAGAGGTTGACAGCGAAGGAATCCTTCACACAACATGACGAACGCCGCCATGTGCTGGATCCCGTCGGGATTGAGATGCTGCAACTCAACCTTATAGAAGTGCAGTAGCCCCCGGAGGAATTTGTGGGCAGGGGTCATGAGCCCACACTCGTGGAAGTGGGCGAACGACACCACGTAGCCGTTGAGCGGCGACGATGAATCCTCGTTGCTGGGCAGCAACCACTCCTCGGCCGAGGTCCACACGCGGAGAAGACCGCGATGGACGAGGCCCTCCATGCGCTGGAAGGTGATGTCGGAATGGCACCACAGATCCATTGGAGGTGGGGCGGATGGATGCGAGCTTAACGGCGGCGGAGATGCGGAGGCAGGAAACCTAAGTGTTGGCAGTAGCGGCGTGGCTGCGGAGGTAAGGATGCATGCGTGCGTATGAAACACGGAGGGCTAACCCTTTGGTTTTATAGTGGCGATAGGTGCGAGGAAACCAACTACCCGCCTAGATCTCCGTGCTTGCCATGACCTATCACTACGTCTCATCGTGGGGCTTGCGCATGCAACCTATGGCCGTCCTCTCGGAAAACGCGCCGGACATTTTGCCTCCCCGAACAGGCCATGACCCGTCATAGGTAAGAGGGATACAGAGCTGCAAATGCTCCTACGACCCGTCTAGGCCCAGGAGTTCGAAGGTTGACCCACCGATGGGTTCGACAACCGCTCTAGGCACCTTTAGAGTGAGGGATGGAAAGGGATGGGTCCGCTAGTGGCTAGTACCCGAGTGCACGAGCGCCACGGGCATCCCGGCCCATGTTCGAGTCTTGGCCGGATATGATCCATGGTTTTCCCTCGAAGAAAGGCAGAGAGCCCTCGGGACTGGTCGAACGGACCCGAGAACTATATGGATTGACCACTGAGAATCTGGAGTCGGTCACTAGCTGACCCAAGCCAAACCCCCGCGAATGGGATGCTGGGGCCCCACTCAAACTAGCCCGTTAATAGCTCACCGAGCACCATGATTCGTCCATAGAGGAAAATCATGGCACGGCTCAGCCCCTCCGTTTTTATCGAAAAAAATGCTTTAGGGAAGATGATCACAAAGACATGCCGACCCTCGATCGGACGCCTGCTACGAGCGAGGGCTCGAGGAATGTTGGACTCGCAAGGAGACCGAACGCGCGGTCGTAGAACGACAGACCCCCGTAGGGGTCGAAATCAGGAAAGACCTTTTCTGACCCACCAAATCTCACGGCTATACCCCTGTACCCCCGAGGGGTCCGATCACGACGAAAGGGAATCGCCATCCCCAGGACACGTCATGGACGATAAAAGAAGGCGAAGGCCCACAGAGTCCTCCCATTCGGAAAAGCATCCGAAGGAGTATTCTACTCCTCCGTAGGCTCGGGGCTACTTTCGGGGACCAATACTAGGGTACCCGAAGAGGAGGAGCTAATGGTCATCAACATTGATTCATCCGAGGAGTCAAGACCGCGACTACAGCTCCAATCGAACCCTAGGTGCGCGGGCTTCGCCTCGCCTGACCTCTAGGTCAGGGGTTCGACCTCGCCCGACCTCTGGGTCAGGGGCTCCGCCTCGCCCAACCTCTGAGTCGGGGGCTCTGCCTCGCTCGACCCCTTAGGCGTGGCTCCCGATAGAAGCCTATACCGTCGCCAACCACTACAGACCAGAAAGTACAACCCAAGGTCAAACTTCTAGCATCATACAGGGAGCAGGCACATCTCAACATGACCCGTGCTCACGAAATGTCACTTCAGGGAACTCACATCACCAACAGTGACAGACGCGTGGTCACTATGCTGCCTACTCCCTGTACAGCTGCTGACTAGCACGCTGGTTCGCCGCGTCGCCCGTCGGGACGGAATGGGACGTCACGACCCGCTGACAACACCGGGACGTGGCATCAGCAGCGAACAGGCGCCCGACGTGGAGCCGTCCCTATCACCATCTGTAGTGTCGGCGGGGCCCGCATAAAGGAGCAGAAAGGCCCGGTGGTCCTGGAAACATTTCTCTCCTTGGCTTTTCTCCCTCTTTCTCTTTGTAACCTGCTCTTCCCCTTCGTCTATAAAAGGGGAAGCAGGACGCCCCAGGAAGGGAGACGGCGGTTCACCACTCTACACGGCTGTAGACATCAAAACACACACCCTAACACGTCTTAGGAGCACACGTACATCAGAGACTTGGGACCTGTCTCTCTCTCGCTCGTTTGTAACCCCTACTACAAACTTTCAGTGCTAGTAACACGAGCAGCAGCGACGAACTGGACGTAGGGACTTTCTATCCGAACCAATATAAACCTCGTGTCCTCTAAGCACACCATCCGAGCCAGACGCATAATACTAGAAATTTACTAGTTGGTAACTCGAAACACCGATAAATGGCGAGCTGAACCACGGGATAAATCGGTATCTCACTTGTGTTCTTGTGATTTACATTGCTATACTTGTATTTATGGTGATTCTAGGGTTTGGTCCCGATCTATTTGCTCGTGCCCTTCCGCCAACATCCAGGTGGTGGAATAAGGCTCTATACTACCCCGGGAACATCAGTAATTGCTCGATCTACTTTTGCTTGGACAATTTTTGAATTATAGTTCAACCTTGTCTACAGGCGCGGCAGTGCCGCACTTTTGTGAGGCAGTGCCGCACCTTGGGAGCAGTAGTGCCGCACCTAAAAATTAATTTTCACTACGAGTTTGTTTTAAACGGACGTATTCACCCTCCCTCTGGGCGACATCAAGGTCCTTTCACAAGGGCCGTCGTGCGCTTGCTACGCGAATGGCTCCAGGCCCACATGGTAGCCTCCCTCTCCATGCGAGCAGGATCCTGGCATACAATGGATGTCACAAGAAGACGAACCCCCGGGGAAGGCAGAACAGCGTCAGACAAACACCTGACAGTCAACTCCAGGCAGTGGCAAAAGATGTCAGAGGCAGTTGGCACATTGTCGGACCCCGCTACAAGACGAAGAGGGCGCCCGACGCCACTAGACTGAAGGAGGAGGACTCGAGACCCTAGGAAAACGCCCTTAACCTGTACTCCCATCGCCCTCCGGTATATAAGGTTGGCATGGCCTCTCGTAGAAGGGATCGATCAATCGACCATTTGAACTACCGAACCCGAGATTTGTATCATTTGTTTCGGTTAGCTGTAGTGATTAGGTCTTAGGAAGTATTTTTCACCCTACTCTAGTTCCATGTAAATATAAAATAGTATCTACTCAGACTAAAAGAAGCGGCTAGTTGTCATTCGAATTAGACTATAAACATGTCTGTTGACGATTTGTGTTGGCTTATGGGCTTTGTGGCCGAGTTTTGGACTTGTCCAAGCTCCAAACTGGCCAGTGCAAGTTGTTCTTGGGCGTTGGAAGAAGGCACAGGACAGGTCAGGAGGAGCGCAGATCGCCATCAGGACAGGGCGGCCGGCCAGTTAGCCGCAGCCATTCATTCCCCGGGTGGACCAGCACAGCACGGCAGTACCGGTACGAGTACGGACAGCGCGGCGCCTCCCAGTCCCAGTCCCAGTCCCGTTCCCCACACGGCAATCGGCAACACCGCACCACAAGCTGGAGACCAGAACCGCGTCGCGCTCCGCTCATAACTCCGCATCCAACAGGCTGAGAGACTCGAGCCCAGTAGCCTGCCGCTGCAGCTCCACCCCAGCCCGAATAGGCTCCCCAATCCCCATGGCGCCGCGCGTCGTCCGGGCCCTGCTGACCGCCACCGCCCTCCTCGCCCCGCTGCTCCTCTCCTCCCAGATTCCTCCCCTGCCCAGCGCCGCGGCAGCCGCGGGCTCACCGGCTCCGGCCCCGGCTCCCGCGCCGGCGCCGGCGCCACACCACCACCACCCGCCCCCGTCGCATCATGCCGCGTCGTCCGGGAGCAACGAAACCCACGCCCGACGGCCGCCGGGGCATCAGCGAGGCGGGGGCGCGCGCCATCCTCCTCCGGCGCCGACGTCGGCGTGGTGGCGCCGGCTCAACTTCGGCGAGCGGTTCGGGATCGCGCTCGCCGGCGTGGCCGTCGCAATGCAGGTGGTGCTTGCCGCCTTCCTGCTGGCCCTGCGCGCGCGGCAGCGGCGGCGAGCGGCGGCCGAGGCCCAGGAGGAGGAGGAGGCGGCTCCGGCGGCGGCGGCTGCGGCTGCTGCGTCCCGGCCCGCGCCAGCGTGACCGACAGCGTGGCTGTTGGGTGAGCTGACGGGGCAACATCACACTTGCTGCTGGGTTCTCCTTCCTTGTTTCTCCACTGCACAGTGTCAGCCTGCTAATTCTGTATACAAAAATTGCCGTCGTGTCGGCGAGGACACCGGCAATGGCGTGACACCATGAGTTGCGGCTGCCCGCTAGGACGGGGTTACATCGATACACGACGGTACGGTTAGTGCAGTGCATGTGCATTATTGTCTGTACTGTCACAGTTAACCAGATAGTCGCGTGATAGCTGTGTGGGTGTGGCGACGCTGATTCATCCCACTCACCTATCGGGCGTCCAGCGCAACAAACGCGTCCCACGTCCCCAGTCGAGGGTCTCATCGCTCTCCCGCCACAATCGAACTCCACGCCCAAGCTTCCCAGTTCCCAGTGCCCACCGATCAAATATCAAGTCGATGGAATGGAATGGAGGACAACATGGCTCCCATACGAAGCTTCACCATAGTTTATTAATTTTGATTCCATACACAATACAGTTATTTTCCTCTCTCATGATCTGAAATTTATCCTTTTCTCTATTTTTGGAGTCGTTCTTGGATCTGTATTTGATTTGTTTTTTTAGTGGTTTAGGGATCATTGGAACTTGATTAAATTATGGCTTCAAGCCTAGTTCTCATCTCTCCACACACACACACACCCCGGCGACGACGACACCGGCGGAACGTCACCCCTCCCCGACCTCGTTGTCGCTAGATCCCTCCGTTAGTTGCCCTTACTCATGCTCACGATGAAGGTGGCACGTGGGGTTCTCCGTCCCCGTCTCTTCTTTGTATCCAGGCGGTGAAAGTCCACATTTGTCACCATATATATGCCCTATCTTAGAAAGATGGATCGACTAATGTGGAAGATGGACAAATGTGGAGTCCCTGGTGGTGGGATACGTCATACATCGATGCACTTATGGAGGAGAAGCTGGCAAGGTCGTAGGGATGACTCGCGCCCTGAGCCTTGTGTCTCTGAGCCGGCTGCATTTATGCCTAGGCCATCAGTGTCATCAACATCAACAACTTCGCCATTGTACTATGCCCCGACTACTATGCCAGCCACTTCACGGTCGCTTACCACCGCTATGATGATCCCATCGTGGGTTTCCACCACTTTGACGACAACTCTAGCCGCAGTTACAGCTGCATCAGCCATCTCGTTCGCGGTGCTCAACATGAGTCAAGATGTCACTAGCGCTGGGCTTCTTACATACCTCCACAGGATGCAACACAGTGACGCCCACAAGGGGAAGACCTATGTCCCGAGATAAGGGGGTTCCTAGTGCGGGGCGAGCCCAAAAACATTCGAGTACCCCTCTTTATTAGAGACCAAGTACAACCCTACCTGGAACTAGCAGTCCAACCTAATAGATGGATCGCTTGGCTTGCCCCTACTGTCGAGCGGTCGAGCCCTGACCACGCAGACCTGTCGACCCTCTGTTCTCCTATGTGTAGTGGCACACCGACGGCCCTCCCCATTGGTCATCGGCCCCTCATGACCTATTGGCTACTAAGTACCAAGTGGCGACCTCGCCTAGTCGCCTCCTTTTCCTCTCGGACCTCGGTTAGCCCTTGCTAGCCTGTTGGGCGCTTGGCGCTCAGATCCTCCCACACTTGCTGGGCATCAAGCGTTGACTAGCCCAGTTGCTACCAGCCGGCCGTCGGTTCGCATGGCAAGGTTGTTGCCCATCTCTTCGCCAATAGCACAACGCGGAGTCACCCTTAGGCTCCACCCCTGCTACTTCACTTATACAATGATGAGTATGACTATATAAGGGTATTGATTAATGATTGGCAATGTAGCTATGTTGCCGCATCAGGGGCTAGCCGCAGTTGGGTTGCGCACTGCACCGCACGGCGCGCCGATGGCCTTCCGGGGCAGTGTCGCGGGCCGGGGGGGAGAGAGAGAGAGAGAGAGAGAGTTGTGGGAGAGGGAGAGGGAGAGGATAACGGGGCCATGGATCCGTGTTTGTGCCCTATAGTCAATCTCGGAGCACCTTGCAGGCGCATGGTCCTCGCTTGTTAGTAACTTCCAAGAAGCACATCACAGGCCAGGTCTGTGGTGGATTAGAGGACGCACATGCAGCTATGGTTTTCACCGTTAGGCCTTCTAGCGAACCGAAAGTTAAAATTATTTTTACCTCAGTTCGGAGAAAAACCTGCAGTGAAAGGATTAGTTTTCACCCCCGTTTTTTCAACCGTTGTCCGATTTTTATTTTGAAACAGTGATCACCGATTGTAATAAAACAAGCTTTGAAAATAACATTGGTAAAATCGATTTATGTAGTAGTGGCAGCGAAGCCATCGGTGCCGGCTAAGATGGACCCGCACAGTCCCATCTTCAGACTTCAGCCTGGTCGAGACCAAAGCCCCGCCCAGCCAAGATGATCCTGTCCTGATGACTGATGTGCACCGTCGCCGCCAAGATCGCCTCCACCTCCACGTACGGCTTAGGCGTTTAGCGACTTTGAACCTTATCCAAACCAACTCAGACTGGGCTTGATCGGTTTTGATATGGGTTGGTTTCACGGGTTGATCCGGTTTGAACTTTGAACCGGCCCATGTATCGGTCCTTTGAACATCCTCCAGTCCAGTGGCTGGCTGCTTCGGTACGGTTTCTCCGATACAATTCTCTGTCGTTCAAGCATGTCTGAAATCGAGGTAGCACTGCTGCGGTGGAGCAATTATCAGAACAAGTGACCGGTCGATGACGCGACTTTGCCACTGGGTTCTGCTGGTAAAAGTTTGGCGGTAAGGACACAATCGATCCATTCCAAAAGGGTGAGAAAGAGAGAACATTACAACAAGCTAGCAGCTGACGCCTAGCGGGGATGCAGACTCGGCGCCTCTCCGAGAATTTTGAGCACCAGAAAAGCAGGCCCGAAAACCACCTAACCTGACCACACAGGCAAAAGGCAGAATATTACTACTACCATCATCCATCAGAGGAGAAAATGGACGCCCCGCGGTCGCCATGGACAAAACTTGAAGTGACCGGCCCTCCTTTCGTCCGGCCATGCTTTGCTATGCCTTGCAAAGGAACCAACAAGCCTGAGGTAGCCGCGGGTGGGTGCTGGTGCCGAGCCCGTTGGTGAACGGATTCAGGACTTGCTAGTGTCTGCATCAACGTTTGGCGAATATTTGCTACCACTGGCCCCGCTCCAGTATCTGTTGCCTCTTAATTCTTGGCCCTGATCGCTTAAACTACTTTAGCAGCAATTTTTAGGAAACAAATTAGCATAAGCATCAGCATAAGCTAAATTTTAGTGAACCGACCCTCGTTCCCACGATGAACAGTTTGGACTTTGAAGAGGGTAAAAAGGTGCGGCGTTTAAAAAAGAGGGAGAGATTGTGGGGGGTGTTTGCTTCTGATTAAAGCCGCAGTACTTCCTTTCTCCGGGGCAACTTTGTTCTGGCTAGTGCGCGTTTGTAATATGCAAATTAAGTCAAGAACAGGCTGGTTTGTTCCCCCTTTCCGTCCATCTTTCACCTACCAACCACACTCCTGCCCTACCGCGGTGCAGTGTCCGAATTTCACGCCAAGCCCGGCCCCGCGGACGTCACATAGTATTTTGGTGTGCATGCCTCGTGGTCTGCTCTGTTTGGACTTTGGACCTCAGATCCGGTGGATTTCAGTGTTCAGTAGCTCGGATGCACGCAACGGCGTCGATCTGCGCGGTGGAGGCCTGCTATGTGCTATCCATCTGTAATGTCTATATCTATCTATGTATACAGTGGACGACATCGGCAGCGAAAGCTTCCAAAGGAAATCTATCATAGATAGTGCGGGAGTCAAACATAGGAGCGCCGCAGCCCGCAGCGGGGAGGCGTACCTAGGCATGCTTGCTAGCTCATCTACTGGCCGCTGGATGGGAAGCCTTCCTCATCAGCAGACAGCAGTCATCATTCATCAGTCATCGCTGCACTGCAAACGGAAGCCAAAACTCTTGCTCTAGCAAGAGCATGACGCGAAAACCACCACCACCTTTAACCCAACAAACTTTGGCTGCTTTCTGAGGCCTTGTTTGAATCAAAGGAATTTCAAACGAAATTCATAGAAATCCATTCCTTTGAAAATGTTTTTAGAAATGTTGTTTGGAACGAAGGAAACTTCAACAGTAAAACAAAGGAAAGTTTCCTACCTCCATTCATTTCACGGGAAACAAAACATCTAGTCCAAACCAATGGATTCACGAAGACCAAGACAACAAGAGAAGAGAAACAAAAAATAATGTTACTTCCTGTGTTTTTGCTATGTTATGGATTTCCTGCGTTCCAAACACCCATTCTAATTATTTTCCGCGTTTTTCCTTTCCTCTGTTTTACCACTACACACTCATCCCATTCCTACGTTTTTTTTTCTATTCCGTGTTTTAGTGAGTAGTTGACTCGATCGGGGGTGGAGGCAGCAGGATCCGGATGTGCGTGTGCCTCATCAGTTATTTTAGTTCCTCCAAACTCTTAAAAAGTGTTCCTTTTCAAATCGTCATATCAAAGTGCCTATTGACTCAAAAACTAATTGCACAGTTTGCTTTAACTTTGTGAGGCGAATCTTTTCCAAACTCAATGTTGAAAAATGCACAAATACAAAAAATGAAGAGGGAATCTTCACTATGCAAACTTTACCAAACTTTGCCCAACTAAATACCCCCTAGTAGTGGTGCGTGCAAGGTTCATATAAGTTGTACTAAATGTAAGGCAACCACACAGCATCAAAAAAAACTAATTACATAGCCCGTTTTGTGTTTAAGGTAACTGCCTCTCACGCAGACCGAGAAAATACCCGAATCTTTTGAGCCTAATTACCCTATGTCAATGTTTGGACAATAATTGAGAAACGTGGAATAGACGAGGGGACAAGCGCAGCCGCGAGGGCTCGAACCCTACACGCGAGGGTGCCAACAGGACCTCTGACCATCTGCTCCATGGAATCTTCATGCCAGTGCATACCGTATTTCACTTTACAAAAGAATT